TGAGCTATGTTCAGGCCTGAAGAGGGAAGAAGTAGAGGGGACGGGTGGGAAAGCATGCAAAGGGTTCTGAGAGGTCAGGGGAGAGAGGAGCTCAGGACGATGACCAGGCCTCTCTGTTGGCCAGATGGAGGGTCCTGGCGTCCACTGAGCTGCAGAACAGCGGAGGAGGGACAGGGTGTTTGGGGTAAGGCTCAGGGAAGAAGGAGCTGGCAGGAGAGAGGGGAGATTAAGGAGGTTCACTGTGTGCCCAAAGCAGTAGAATTTGACAAATCTTACTGTTCCCGTGTTACCTTCCAAAAGATGCTCTCCTGGAAGGTATATTGTGACTTTAACCCCAGACGTGCACACACGCCTGCACGCGCCGCTTCTAGCTCCTACCCTTCTCTGAGCTGGCAGCCAGTCCGATTCTGTTCTGGGCCCATGGCCACATGAAGGAGGCAGATTGGTTCACCTGGTCTTTAAATGAAAATGCTGATGCCCATAATCTGCTGACAAAAGGCTAATTAGCCTGAATTTGAAGTCCCAGATCCCTCGGGGAAGAGCACGTCAGGAAGCGCCAAGCTTTCCAGGGCGAAGCTGTCCCTGAATTAAGGGAGGTTGCAGGTTTTGTCTGCTGGCCTGCGTCTCAGACTCCACTGTGATCCCCCTGAGGGGAGAGGGGACCTGGATTCAGACGGGCGGGCTTCTCCTATTACAGCCCTCTCCCTGCCGAGGCCGAGAGTGAGGACCAAAAAAGAAATTCTGGAGCAGCGGTCATAAAGGGCACTCAGACAGATGGGTGTCCTCTGAACAAGGAAGAAGTAGGGGGGAACGAGGACCGGAGAGAGACACGGGAGACAGGGTCACGTGGAGACAGTCCACGTCAGGTCACCGAGCAGCCTGGGACAGAATCTGTTCAAATCAACCGCACATTAAACCGTGCGATATCTTGAAATCATTCCTCGTCACTAGACACCGCTCCTCTGCCCCCTTCAGATTCTTCAGCTATCTAGAGAAGGATAGAACAGCGCAGCCCTCCTGTGCGCACAGGGCGCGGCTGGCCCCCCTGAGTGTTGGTCTGTGTGTGTGTCCTTCCCCTGAGCAGGGCATCCTCAGCAGAGCTGGGGTGTCGCCAGGCGGGCGCGGGGCATCCAGACTGGAGACAGACAAGGCCCGAGGAACTAGAGTTAATGAATACGGACAACTCCTTCCAGTGTCCTGGCTGAAAGGGGAAGGTAGGTCAGGCCAGTTGCTAGAAAAGGATTTTCTTGCTAGTGAAGGATTTTGAGAGCAGGATTTTCTTTTTCGGAAGCAAGAAATGTGAGCGTTTTTATAGGCTGTGGTAGAGGTCGAGAGGGAAGGCAAGACGGAAGAGAGAGGAGAGAGGGATGACTGATGTGTGGCCTTTAACCTGGAGCCACATGGCCCTGGTCTACTCCCAGCTTTTCTCGCCGGGCACACAGGATGTTCCTCCCCGTTTCAGGCACAGCCTGGCTCCATCTCACCTCTGTAGCCTGTGGAAGCAGATGTTGCTCCCCAGGTGGGGTTAAGAGTAGCCTGAGGCTGCTCTCCATACGAGGCAGGACACCCGGCATCTATGCAGCGCCCCTTACCACCTCCCACAGCGGCCAGAATGAGGCCCAGACGATCTCCTGCCTCCTCAGTTCCTGCATCTCCAAGTCCCCAGGTTTCCTCTGCAGACGTACCGCACTCTCCGGTGTCCTGGAAGCAGCTCAGCCCTCTTCCAACCTTGCTCAGTCTTGAAAGGGCCTCTTTCTCCACCTGGATCCTGCTGGGCTTTTTGCAGCAGCCAGAGGCTGCTCTTATTCTGTTGTCAACTTTGATCAGGTTGTCTGCACAACCCCCCTCCTCCCAATACGCTGCAGTTTGCCACCGCACCCCTCAGATCAGAGCCGCACTCCTTGTCATCCCGTGCACCTCCACGCCCCACCCCTGACGCCTGAATGACACGCCACACCTCTGCTTGGACCTCACCTCTGATTTCGGCATCAGCCCTTGATGCAGACGCTTCTTCCTGTTAAATCGTCTCCTCCCTGCTCTAATTCATAGCCCCCACCTCCATTCACTTCCAGCACGTCCAGCTGTGGACAGTCTTTGAGCATTTATTCTAAAGTCCTAAAGGGCCCAACATTGATGCAAGAGGCCACCCCTCACCCCTCAGGATGCAAACACTCACTGTTCCCTTTTGGCTTCAATCAGACAAACTCCAGGACATTTGGAGGGATGAAGCAGCCGAAAAACCCAGCTTAATAGAGAGGACAAAGCTCTGGGAGAGAATGGAAGAAATTTTACAGGCCACTGGAGGCCTGGACATTCACACAACACAGAAGAGAAGGAAAGGTCACTCTGTCACTGCGGTTTCATGATGGTGTGAGACCTCCACCTAGAATGTGAACCTAAACCTTCTGGGAAGCTTCCTCTGTTCTAGGAAAAAAGAAGATGACGGGGGGTCCATGATGGAGCCAAAGGCAGGCTGATAGAAAGAGGAGCCTATCTGATCTCCAGTAGCCTCGAGAATGCTGGGTTCTACCTGCCAAGACTGCTGTGGAAGCATCTGACCCCCATTCACAGTGCTGCCCCATCTCAGCCCCCCTACATGCACACACAGCTCCACTTGCATGTCTGTAGAAGAGGCCGTCCTGACCGCCGTGGTTTGTACAGTGTAACCCTGGCCACAGGTGATACAAGAGCCACAGGGGCACGTGCTCCCAGCAGCCAGTCTGTGTGCTGTCCAGTGACACATGACATGGCCTGATACCCCAAGGTGGGTTGGGTCAATTAGATACTACCCCTGCACTTGGTAGATGTGAAGAAAATGAGGCATTAGTGGAACCATGAGATGAAGGGAGTCTTAAGAGGTCTTGGTAAGCCATGAAAAAAACCACATTATAAGTACGCTGAAATTGTAGTGAATGGAAATATAGACTCAGTAGAGGATTAAGAAGCCAGTTGGTAAGAAGAGGAGAGGACAGAGAAGTCTCATTATTAGCAGACCAGAGGGCTTCCCTGATGGCGCAGTGGTTGAGAGTCCGCCTGCCAATGCAGGGGACACGGGTTCGTGTCCCGGGCTGGGAGGATCCCACATGCCGTGGAGCGGCTGGGCCCGTGAGCCATGGCCGCTGAGCCTGCGTGTCCGGAGCCTGTGCTCTGCAACAGGAGAGACCACAACAGTGAGAGGCCCGCGTACCGCAAAAAAAAAAAATTAAAAAATTAAAAAAAATTAAACAATAGCAGACCAGAGACAACATCTAGAAGTTCTGATGCTGATGTTCCAGGGGTTACCTTGGACCCAGAGCAAAACTCCTGCTCGTTTCTTCATAGGGCCTCTCACCATGGTTCCTGCTCTTGAACTTCTATGAGAATCCATTTCCGTTATTGCCCCATGAGTGCTTTTGCAATAAATCCCCACCACCACTCCAGCTAACCTTGTATTGAGCTACCTTGAGTGCGTCTCTGTTTTTTGCAACCCAAAGACTGACCAGGACGCGTGTGGACTTGTCCTGCCCAGAAGTATATTTGGTGGGTGTTGGATTTGGGCCACTCTATTTGTTTGCCTTAGTTTGTCACAGTCTAGCTGTGCTTAAGATGAAACCTTAAAATGGTGGGAATGTCTCTGAATAGAAAAGAAGCTAGAGTCAGCAGAACAACACAAGTAGAAATGAGGTTTATCCCACAGAGAGGAGTCCAGAGTTTCTGGAAGAGAAACATAGATGAAGAAGAAGCCCTAAGAATATGGGTGTGAAGAATGCTGCTTGGAGGGAAGCTTAGAAGACCCTGGTTGGTGACTCCCTGTTGGGGGGCATAGAGCAGCTGTGCAGGGGCCCCAAAGATCTGACGGCAAGATGCCTTCCTGATGGTGAATAAGGTGTAACAAAGAGTTAGCCGAAATTGGGCGAACTGACTGCTTCTCCTGGCCAGAGACAACCCACTAGGAGCAAACAGTTGCATCTTCAGACACGATGATTTTGGGGTGGAAAATGAAGGACTTGAGAACACAGGCGCTATTTTCATCACTTCTTCCCATCGCCCTTTGGGACTCTGGAAGACCTAGGAACATCTCAAAGAAGATCAACACTTACCTAAAAAGATCGGGTGGATATTTAGCTGAGGCTATGAACCCTGGCTTAACATTCTAGAAGACACCATTCTTAGCCAAGAGTGCAGAAGATCTTCTGTAGACGGGGGACTGGTGATTGATGAGTTAGTTTCATCAGGAGGATTTAAAAATGAATAGCAGGAGGAAAAGGGAAACAACACAACAAAACAGATAACCCATTAGACCAGTTGCTATGAATGATATTAAATGGGATGTGGAAAAAAGAGTTTCAGGACAGGCAGTGCCCAGGAAGGAAGACCGAAAGCCTAGCTGTAAGTGGCCTTAGGTATCCCAGTGCATCCCTCACAGAGAACAAACACTAACCCAGAGCAAGGTCTGCAGGCACCCAAGCATGTCAACAGACCACTTAGAAATGGGCAGACTAATGCGCTGTGCCTGCCTAGAAAGCTGTGCCTCTGAGGCAGAAGAATCATTGAGAAACAGATGCGTGGGTCTTAGCAGAGATGACCGCACTGTGGGAGTATCACAGGTAGAGGTGATGCTCTCCTGAAACAAATCCTAGCACCAGTGCAGAGATTAAATCTCATCTTGAGGGAGAAGCTCACTGAAAAGACATTTCCTGGAAGTCTTTGTTGGTTGAAAACAGAGGATCTGACAAGTTCATGAGTTGCTTTGCTGTCAGGATAAATCAGTTAGAATACTTTTGATGTAAAAAAACAGAGGGAAGGGGGGAGGGGCAAATTAGGGGTATGGGATTCAGAAATGCAAACTGCTGTGTATAAAATAGGTAAACAACAAGGATATATCATATAGCACAGGGAATTGCAGCTGTTATAATAACTTTTAATGGAGTATAATCTGTAAAACTGCTGAATTACTATGCTGTACACCTGAAACTAATGTAATATTGTAAGTCAACTATTCTTCATTTTTTTTTTAAAAGAACAGAAATCCTGACACAAACGATTAAACAATGAGAAATGTATCATCTGGCTAAGGAATTAGAGGTAAGATAGGGATCCGGGATGGTAGATTCAGGAGCTAATCATGGGGTCAGGAACACTGGATCTTTCCAGGCTGCCGTCTTCAGGTTGGCAGCAAGATGAATGCACTTCCAGGCATTGTGTCCAGACGTGAAAATAACCAGAGGAAAATGCTATGGAGCAAGGAATAAAAGCTATGGAGCTATGGAGCAAGGAATAAATTTCTCAAGTCCCCAACTTTCCCCTTGTATGTCATGGTCAAAAGTATGCCAAGTTTAAATCAGTCACTGGCAAAAGGAATGGGATTATGTGGGCCAAACAGGTCCAGCCCTGGAGATGGATCCCCTTCTCATGAGGTGCCTAGGTAGGTGCATGGCAAGAGGTGGGACCCTGGATGGATGCAGGGTTCACTTAGGAAGAAGGAAATAGGGGGAATGGGTGCTGGGTAGGTCATTAACAGTGTACTTCACCAGGCATCTTCTGATAAATGTAGACAGTAAGGAAAAGTGTATATTAAAATGTGAAGGAGAAGGAGAAAGAAAATTTGCAGCAAAATGAGAACTCTTTGGCAAAGTAGAAGTGATGAGACCCTTAGGACAACTACTCTATCATCAGAGAGACTGAGGCAGTGAAGCGCTGTTTGGATATGGTTAGATTCTCCCATCAGCTTTAGAATCAAGATTTTCCAAACCTCAGAAGAAAAAATAAAGGCTTCTGTTGCTGGAAGCCTTGACGGAGAGACTTGAAATATTTGAAAAGCTCTTCAGAATGCTATTCTGACTGTGCAATCAGAAGTGACAGTAAGGGCGGTGCTCATAGAAACACACAATTTTTTTTTAACATCTTTATTGGAGTATGATCGCTTTACATTGTTGTGTTAGTTTCTGCTGTATGACAAAGTGAATCAGCTATACATATACATATATCCCCATGTCTCCTACCTCTTGCGTCTCCCTCCCACCCTCCCTATCCCACCCCTCTAGGTGGTCACAGAGCACCGAGCTGATCTCCCTGTGCTATGCGGTTGCTTCCCACTAGCTATCTATTTTACATTTGGTAGTGTATATATGTCCATGCCACTCTCTCACTTCGTCCAGCTTCCCCTTCCCCCTCCCCGTGTCCTCAAGTCCATTCTTTACGTCTGCGTCTTTACTCCTGTCCTGCCCCTAGGTTCATCAGAACCATTTTTTTTTAGGTTCCATAAGTATGAGGAACACACAATTACTGATATGTTACATGGACATGTACAAATGATGAAAAAAACAGGAAGGAAAATGCACTCTTGCCTTTTTCTTACTAATTGGTCTCTCTCAGCACCGCTTCTGCCCCTCTGCAGCACTTCCACTGTCTAGAAATTTGCCTGTTTATCAACTTCCCTAAATTTAGGGCCCCACTCCTGAACCTAGACATCGGCTCATCTCTCTGTACTAGGAAGCTGAGCTTCTTCAAAGAACCAGCGTACTCGAGACAAGGCCGCAGGTTTTTCACAGCTAGGTCACTATGAGCTTCGTGCAGGAAACTGCTTTGGTTAGAAATACTGGACAGGATGTGCTTCTCCATATTCTCCTGGGCTAAGGACTCCCAAAGCTACTGATATTCATAGCATCCCAAAGGGATGTGTGTCCTACCGTCCAGGTTAGCTGGCCATGTCACACCCACCAAGCCCCAAAGGCCTTCCCCTGATTCGGAGGACGTTGTTTTCCAGCCTGGACAGAGCCCCTTCTTCAGACTGACCATCCCCTTGTCCGTCTAACCTTCCAGCTGTGACTCCCCAGCGCTCCCCCATTGTCTGCAACTCTGGACTCCGTCATCTGCCCTCCTGGAAAGAAAGCATTTTCTAGCCAGTTCCAAAAGGCTCAAGCCAACATAGGCAGGGCAGCAAGTCAAGCCTGGACCAGAGTTTACCAGACCGGTAGCCCCGGCTGAGAACCTCTCCAGGTGAGAGCTGATCCTGGCCGGCAGGAGACTGGCCTCTCTCCACCTGCCTCCTGTCACACCTCTGCACACGCCGTCAGCACTCTGCGCTACAGGGGAACTCCACTGAGAGGAAGAGCTCTTCTTCTAAAGCCCCAGGGCTCTGCCAGTTCCCACACCTGGCGGCGGGAGGGGGGGCCTTGAGAGCATCCTTCACAAAACCAGCCCTCGTCTGGTCTTGGCCCTCCCTCCCACTGTTCCTGAGCCCAGACCAGGATGGAACACAGTATCAGGTCTGACTTTCAGGACATTTGTCACCTTAAGGACCAGAGTCAACACCGGGGGTAAGTTTGAGGCTCTCAAGGATGCGCCGCACGGGCTCGTGCTGCCAACACTGTGGCTCTGCACCACGTACTTCTTCACCCGTGATCCCGGCCTCAGCTCATCTCCACACAAACCCCAGCCCTGGCCACCAGCCTCTGTAGCTCCCCACTGAAACTGACCTCCCTCCTTTATGATTCTGGACTTTACTGGACTTCTGTCAGCAGTTTTCTCCAGTCAGTGCTCTCGCCTAATAGTCACATGGGTGACAGCACCTAAGTGATCTCCTAAGAGCAAATAACCCGGTCCTGGGGCCTCTGCCATCAGCTCTGCTACCCTTTGCTGCCCTCCCCTGGCCATCCGTGTCACTGCAGGTGACCCTTCAGTGCTCTGATGGCTTCATTGGTGTGCTCATTCTTTTTTTTTTTTTAATCTATTTATTTATGTTTGGCTGAGTTGGATCTTTTGTTGCTGCGCGTGGGCTTTCTCTAGTTGCAGCCAGTGGGAGCTACTTTTCATTGCGGTGCGCGGGCTTCTCATTGCGGTGGCTTCTCTTGTTGCGGAGCAAGGGCTCTAGGTGCGCGGGCGTCAGCAGTTGTGGCACGTGGGCTCAGTAGTTGTGGCTTGCAGGCTCTAGAGCGCAGGCCACAGTAGTTGTGGCGCACAGGCTTAGTTTCTCCACGGCATGTGGGATCTTCCCAGAGCAGGGCTCAAACCCGTGTCCCCTGCATTGGCAGGTGGATTCTTAACCACTGCACCACCAGGGAAGCCCTGGTGTGCTCATTCTGAAGCGTTTGTTTAGGGCCTCTCTGTAGTATCCAATGTGTAGACAAAGGATTTGGCAATAAAAGTATGTGGAGCTTGCCTTGCACAAGCACACAGTCTACTGAGGAAAAGTGAACAGAGACAGAGAGAGAGGGAATGAATGAATATGAATGAATGGGAGTAGAATGAATGAATTCCAGGGTACCCCTGTGAAGCCTAGATTTACTCATCATTCCACAAACTCCCCTGCCTTGCACCTTCGCCTGACAAAGTCCTTGGAGTTGAGCACCGCTTCCCCTTTAGGGGTGGAAATGGGGATCTTTGACACCCGCCCTGCTCCAAGTAGTGGAATGTGTTGGTCACATCTGTCTTCTTCCTCCCTAGCATTTGATGGTTTGTTTTCATTCATAAACCAAATATTTCTGAGCAGGTGGTGAGCATTCTGCCAGGCACTGGAGGTACAGAGGGAAAATGCTAATCCCATCCCCCATGGAATTTACAGTCCAGCTGAGGATGTCTGCATAAGTAGATCATGAGACAGATTGTTTGATAACAGCTTCGATAAGTGTTACCTGGTGCCGTTCTGTCTTGTTCACACCCAGTAAGAGCCCTGCAAGAAAAGGGTATGGGGTCCGTGGTTTGGGATAGAAGAGATGAACCACAGAAGAGCACACCTGTACACGCAGTAGGCGTCTCAGAAAGTGCTGAATGCATGAAAGTGGCTACAGAGAACCGAGCCCATTGTTTCCCATGAGCTCTGCTGAAATCAGCAGCTCCTGTGTTCGCCCCTTGACTGCAGCATGCCCACCCCAGCCTCTTCTATCCACCTACCTCCTCTCCAGATGCAGGTCCAGATGTATGAACCTGCTGGCCAGGACCTTTGCTAGGTTCCTGGTCAAGTAGAGGACAATTCAAGAGCCACAGTCCAGTATTGCAGGGGCTGCGTCTGCTGTGTTCACCAGGGCGTCCCCGGTCCTCCGCACAGCACCCGGCACATAGGTTGTACCTGGTAGTTCTGTGGTGGTTGTTGAATGAACACGTGAGTTCTGCATAATTATCCAGACAGGAGCTTAGCTTCTGCAAGGAACTTAATCGTGATTGGGCTCATCTGATCAATAGAGACAGCTCTCCTGGTTCACTGTAGCCAGAAGTGGATTTATAACCTAATTTGGTGTATTGGCCGCAAAAAGAGTGTAGACCCTGAGTTGTAGTGACCCCAGGGGTCAACCTCCAGGGCAAGGAGAGCTCAGCCATCATCCCCGAGCTGAGATTTAAGGGCAGCCCTTTGTTCAGCCTGCTCTCAGCCCACAGGGGTAGATCTGTGGGAGCCGGCTGGTCTGAGGAATCTTCCCAGTCAAGAAGGGGCAGGAGGAAGGATCACCCGCAGCAGGCGAGAGAGAGCAGTGAGGGCCAGGGGTGCAGAGCAACCGTGAGAACAAGCTCCCGAGGTTTGGGAGAGGAGCCTTTGCCAGGGCGGTGCTTCACTGAGAGGACCTAGTGAGCCCTGGGCTGGGAGTGACCAACTTTTACTCAAAGATCCAGCAGGAGGCTTCCCTGGTGGCGCAGTGGTTGAGAGTCCGCCTGCCGATGCAGGGGACACGGGTTCGTGCCCTGGTCCGAGAAGATCCCACATGCCGCGGAGCGTCTGGGCCCGTGAGTCATGGCCGCTGAGCCTGTGCTCCAGCAGGGGCTACAGCACATTTTGCTTAAAAACTACAGCTGGTTTGTAATTTCAGCCTCAGACAGTAATTACAGCTGCTGGGGCTCCTTGGAGAGAGAATTACGGAAAGGATTCAGCACATTCATTTTATCTACACACTTAACCATCAATTAAATCATTACCGTCTAATCCTATTCCAGAGTCTAGAAATGGTCTGTGAATGTATAATTTTGAAGGCACCGAAGTTTGTTTGCAGATGGTTTTAAGTGAAAACTTGCCCCATTTCCAGAGTCCACGTGTATGCTTTCCCATGGAGGCAGAGCCAGGGGAAGGTCCAGGTCTCCTGGTTGCCGTCTCCCCGGGC